TCTCTCTCTCTCTCTCTCTCTCTCTCTCTCTCTCTCTAACTCCACTACCCTCCTCGGCGCTGGACTCCTCCAGCGCTGTGCCTCATGGCCGATGAGCAGCGCAGCTGCAGTCTCGAAATAGCGCAGCAGGGAGTCTCCAAAATAGCGCAGCAGCCAAGTTCCTGAACCAGCATAACGCTGGATTTCTCCTGGTACCTTCTGTGTCCGAACTGGGCAATGGCCCAGCTTAAGTAGCGCTGGCCAGGACTGAAAACCCACGGCCTGCGTTCTGGACCGTGCAGATTGAAACTCCGATCCACGGTCCAGATCGCAGGCTTCAAAAACTGGTTCAGCCCTTGGCCTAAAACGGCCTGCCTGGGTCCCTACCGGACGTCCAGGCCCTGTCCAGGATTCAGTTTCCTGGTACCTGGCTCAAGACCGGTCCTGTGCGGACATACCCGGCCTCAACGTCGGCCTGGGTCCGAACAGGTCAAAAACTGTTCGAAAACAAAAGAAAAGGTCCAAACGTTTTTAGGAGCTCAGCCTCTGGGCCTGAATCTGGCCCTGGTCCTAAAAACGTGTACCTGGCCACAAAACGGACAACAATACACACGTTAGAAAAACAGCAGCAAATAAATAAATAAAGAATATAAAAATAATATAAAGCTGGCGTTTTTCTGATGCAGGCCCAAGTAAAATGCCATAGGGCCTTCAGGTTGCGGTGACGCGACCTGGGGGCCCTATTCCAACCTCGGGTCCCGTGAGGGGCCCGTGTGTAGGCTTTCAGCATGTAACACCTACTGTAATACCCCGCTGCATCCGCACGCCACAGGTAAGCACCAGGCACGTAGGCCTCCCCAGCATGCAAGTACCACAGCGGAACACACATGCACTCATGCAGGCAGGAAAACACATGGAAACTCAGCAAATCATGCACGCATACTTTGAATCGCAGCAGAATGGAATCTCAGCAAGTCAGTCAAACAAGTGGGAAAACTCAGAAAACAGCAGATTTTTCAGAATGCGATTTTGCAGG